TATGTCAGAGGGAAGATCTGGGACTCAAGGGCTGCACTTCAAGTTCTTTTGTCCCACGGGGTGCTTCCTTGATGTGGTGCCCTTCCCCTTCCCCTAGAAGTGGGGCTTCCTGAAAGCCAAGCTGCAGTGATTGTTATTTCTCTTCTGGGTCTAGCCACCCAGCAAGACCCTGCGGAGGGTCTGCAAAGAGTCCTGTGATGTGATCCATCTTCAGGTCTCTCAGCCATGGATACCAGCACCTGCTCTGGTGGTGATAGCAGGGGAGTGAGGTGGACTCTGTGTGGGAACTTAGTTGTAGTTTTGTTTAGTGCTCTGGTTTTCTTGAATGCTGGTTGTGCTGGCAGTAAAGTTGTCACATGGACAGACTCAGGACCTCTAGTTAGCCAGGATGTTACAGGCAATGGAGTTAGCTATTGTTTTCTCCTTTCTTGGGACAGGGTTGTTCTTTTATGAGTTGCTGTAGTGGTTTGTGTTGGTTGGCCTCCAGCCAGGAGGTGGTGCTTTCAAGAGAGCATCTGCTGTGGTATTGTAGGAAGGATACAAGCTTGCCCTAGGGTCACCTAGATAAATACTGGGGTTTCTCAGGTGGTGGGTGGTGCCATAGAACTCCCAAGAGATTATGACTTCAGGTAGAGAAAGACCATCAGGTGGGGGAAGGGTTAGGTGTGTCTGAGCTCAGACTCTCCTTGGGCAGGACTTGCTGTGGCCACTGTGGAGATGGGGCCGTGTTTCTCAGACTGGTGGAGTTATATTCCCAGGGGGATTATGGCTGCCTCTGCTGAGTCATACAGGTCACCAGGGAAGTAGGAGAATGCTGGCAGTGACAGGCCTCACCCAGCTCCCACACAACCAGTAAGGCCAGTCTCACTCCTACCATGTTTTCCCGACAGCACTGAGTTTATATCCAGGCAGCTGGTAAGCAGGGTTGGGAACTTGCCCCAGGCTACAGGCCTCCCCACTAAGAAAGCAAGCAGGGTTTTCAGATTTTGCCCCTCCTCACCATGGCTTTTGTGTTTACACTTCCCATTCACCCCCAGATTCTGCCCTGGAAAATTCATGCTTGGTTAAAATTATTACAAAGCAGCTGGAAGTTTCCTTCTCCCTGTGGTCCTTTCCCAATTCCACTGGCAACCCTCCCCAAGGACTTCTGTGAGATAAAGTCAGAAATGGGTTCCCTGGGCTTTCTTGGGGCCTGGGAGTGCCTACAGGGCTCTTCATGCTGCTGCTTCTACTTTTGTATTTCTTCCAGCTTTCTAAATTCGTTTCAGCTCTAGGTAAGTTTAAATTCTTCTCCTGTGATCTGGATTTTCAGGCTTTCCAGTGAGGATGTGTGTTCAGAGGCAGAATTCCCCGACTCGCACTTTGGCCACTCGCAGTTTTTCAGCTGTCTCCCGGAGTTGACAGCAGCAAGCTGCTTCTTTCAAAGGGTCTGTGAATTCTTTTGGTTTTCCTGATATGTTTTTCCAGTGGTTCTTGGAGCAAAAGTTCACAAGGTGAGTCTCCACATGCTATTCTGTCCATCTAAGTGGGAGATGCAAGTTAGTCCTGCCTCCTATTTGCCATTATCCTCTGCCTACAGATCAATTATCATATTGATCCAGAATGGCTGGGATCCTGGCTGAACCCACCCTTAAGCCTGGAACCATCGCCCTAAATGAAAACAGATAACCCCGTTTTTTCCCATCCAAATGTTGCTTTTTTGTGGTCTGCCATGCCCCTTTCCTGTATTCACAAAAATATTTCAGCTGGCAGAGTGATACAATCTGCTGAGCGTCAGGAACACAAGCTGCTGAGCATCAGGGACACAAGTGGCTGAGCGTGTCTAGCAGAGAAGCAGCAACTGAACATCGGAGACTAAGGATAGATACGGCTAACTTCAGATGGCGTGGCTTCAGGGAAAGAGCACCTTCTTCCTGCGCCACCTCCTTTCCAATTCACCGTCCCGCTGAGAGCCACGCTTATTGCCCAATAAAATCCTCTGTGTATACTAGCCTTCAAACCGTTTGTGTGACCCGATTCTTCCTGGACTCTAGACAAGAACTCGGGTGCCAAGAGAGCAGGGGCTTGGATACTGCTGTGGGGCCTGCACAGAGCCTGCTCCTGCCAGACAGGAGTGACCAGCCGGTTCCAGCATTTGTTCCCTCTGTTTCCTGCGCTTACTTGCTCACACACTCCCTCTTGTGAGGAGTAGCCAGTGGCAGGCTGAGTGAAATGAGCCACCCTAGTTCCCACCCATGAAGGGAGTCAAGGTCAAGGGAACAATCCCATCTCAATATTTTTGATGTATCTTTTTAAAAAGGTAAGCCTGTGAAATAAACTTTTTATCTACTGATACCTGGATTCATTCATTTATTTTAATTTTCAGTACTCACTATACATAATTTAAAAACAAACAAACAAACTAACTTTCTTTACTGGAGTCAGATAAAATGTCAGAGGAACTCTTATAGGTTCAAAATTCAGAGATCCTGCTGCTCAAGTCACAACTCTAGGCTGCCCTGAGGAACTCTAAAACAATTACTGATGAAATTCTACACCTGCTTTATATAAAAGGGCCTATAAGACAGGTAAGATTTTATCACTGAGGGACAGTACAGGAATAATGGGTTGAAACCATAAAAGCTATATAGTCTTAACCCAATAGCAAAAGGGGCAAGGAACTTGAATAGGCAGTTCACAGAAGAGAATACTAAATATCCAGTAAACATGAAAAGGAGCTCAAAATCATTAGTCATCCAGAAAATGAAAATTAAAACCATAATGAAGCATCACTATACATCTGCTAAAATGACTATAATGAAAAAGACATACGTAGTATTCCATGGTGTATATATACCACATTTTCTTAATCCAGTCTGTCATTGATGGACATTTGGGTTAGTTCCAAGTCTTTGCTATTGTGAATAGTACCACAATAAACATATGTGTGCATGTGTCTTTAGAGCAGCATGATTTATAATCCTTTGGGTATATACCCAGTAATGGGATGGCTGGGTCAAATGGTATTTCTAGTTCTAGATCCTTGAGGAATCACCACACTGTCTTCCACAATGGTTGAACTAGTTTACAATCCTACCAACAGTGTAAAAGTGTTGCTATTTCTCCACATCCTCTCCATCTTCTGTTGTTTCCTGACTTTTTAATGATCGCCATTCTAACTGGTGTGAGATGGTATCTCATTGTGGTTTTGATTTGCATTTCTCTGATAGCCAGTGATGATGAGCATTTTTTCATGTGTCTGTTGGCTGCATAAATGTCTTCTTTTGAGAAGTGTCTGTTCATCTCCTTTGCCCACTTTTTGATGGGGTTGTTTGCGTTTTCTTGTAAATTTGTTTGAGTTCTTTGTAGGTTCTGGATATTAGCCCTTTGCCAGATGAGTAGACTGCAAAAATTTTCTCCCATTCTGTAGGTTGCCTGTTCACTCTGATGGTAGTTTCTTTTGCTGTGCAGAAGCTCTTTAGTGTAATTAGATCCCATTTATCAATTTTGACTTTTGTTGCCATTGCTTTTGGTATTTTAGATATGAAGTCCTTGCCCATGCCTATGTCCTGAATGGTATTGCCTAGGTTTTCTTCTAAGGTTTTTATGGTTTTAGGTCTAACATTTCAGTCTCTAATCCATCTTGAATTAATTTTTGTATGAGCTGTAAGGACGGGATCCAGTTTCAGCTTTCTACATATGGCTAGCCAGTTTTCCCAGCACCATTTATTAAATAGGGAATCCTTTCCCCATTTCTTGTTTTTGTCAGGTTGTCAAAGGTCAGATGGTTGTAGATGTGTAGTATTATTTCAACGGTAAAAAAGGATGAGTTCATGTCCTTTGTAGGGACATGGATGCTGCTGGAAACCATCATTCTCAGCAAACTATTGCAAGAACAGAAAACCAAACACCACATGTTCTCACTTATAGGTGGGAACTGAACAATGAGAACACTTGGACACAGGAAGGGGACCATCACACACTGGGGCCTGTCATGGGTTGGGGGGAGGGGGAAGGGATAGCATTAGGAGATATACCTAATGTAAATGATGAGTTAATGGGTGCAGCACACCAACATGGCACATGTATACATATATAACAAACCTGCACGTTGTGCACATGTACCCTAGAACTTAAAGTATAATAAAAAATAAAAAAAAAAGAAAAAGACATACAATAATGCGTTGGTGAAGACAGAAAACACTTGAAATTCTATATTCTGTGGGGGTGTAAACAGGTACAACCACTTTGGAAAACTAGCAGTATTCACTAAATTTGAACTAGGCATACACCATGCCTAGCAATTTCACTCCTATATATAGCTCACAAAAACATGTACACATGTAGACAAAAATATTAATATAAAAATGTTCATATTGCATTATTCATTATGACCCCAAATTGGAAACAACCAAAATGCCCATTAACAGTAAAATGGATAGTAGTATTTTTATGTGACTGAATGCTATGAAGCCACGATAAACAATGAACTGCTATATATAACAATATGAATATATATCATAAATGTGATATTAGTCAAAATCCATACACAAAAGAACATATGCTATATGATTCCATTTTTATAAAAATTTAAAAAATACAAAAGCTCATCTATGATATATCACTATAGTAGCTACCTTTGAAGAAGAGGGTACAGATTAGAAAGGGGCATGAGGGAGGCTTCTTGGGTATTTATAAAACTATTTCTTGATCTGGGAAGTAGTTATGTGAACATGTGTACCTTTTAGAAATCCATCAAGTTATACACATACAGTTTGATAACATTAAGAAACATTCTTAAACTGGAGTTTCACCCACAGCAAATGATAAGTTACACTGATGGAATGAAATACTATTACCCATAACTATTCCTGAAATTTGATTTGTATAGAATTTTCACATTCTGAGACTAAACTAGTAGACAAGATTTGGGCTAAATTTAGAGAGACTGGTGCAAGTAGAGAGACAGGTATGAGAAAAGCATAAAGGTCAGCAAGGGCAGATCATGTTCAGTGACTCACGAGAGATGCAGCATCATGGGAAAGGTAGCTGAGAAGTGAATCCGGGACCGGACCCAGGAAGGTCTTGAATATTGGACAGGGTTTGTTCTTAATCTCGTAGGCTGTGGAGAATGAATATGAGTTTTGAATGGGATAATAATATTCCCTTCAGTTCTTCTACTTTTAATAAAGTGAGGCATGGGGAGAGTATCTGAACTTATTCAGAAATGTTTTTGTCCTAGACACGCATGTATGTGCGTGTGCACACACACAAAATAGTATGTGTGTATGTGTATAAAATAATTTCATCCCCACAACAATCAAAAGGAGTGCACTATTCCTACTTCACAGGTGAGGAAATTGATGTCTAGAAAGGTAAGTAACATCTGAGGACAACAGGAGTAGGCTTCTGCCAACAGAGGGACAGCTTTGCTTCCTTTTTCAGAGTAACCTCAGGAAACAGAGCACAGAGGGATTCAGCACTTGTCTTCTCCATTGGTGGTAGGAGTGGTGAGCAGAAAAAGAAAGCAAAGAAAATCTCAGTAGCATTCTGGGGAAGCCACCATTGAGGGCAGGTAGCTGGCATGGTTCCTATAGTAATAGATACGATCCCCTGCACAAAACCTCATCCTCCTCTATGCCAGCGGACACAATTTGATGATTTCATCCAAGCTATGGAGTCAGAGCCACTCAATTCTGTGTCAGCTCAGGGCACTGCCTCTAGAAAAATACTTTTTATTTTAGCAAGTCATTATTAATGATTCTTCCTTCTTGTTTCAGAAATGTTCTCCTGCTCAGTGATGTGCTGGGTGAATGAGTAGTTTTTGAAATTTTCCATCTCCTTCATAGCCTTCAGATTTGGCTCATGTGAAAGAAAGCTGAGAAGGTGGAAAATTTCCTTTACCCACACTGATCTCTCTATCACCAATTGTGTCTATATATGTGAATCTAAGATAAGCCATTTTCTCATTAAATGTCCAATATTAGTTTTGGTGTTGGATAGTGGTTTTAGTTTAATTCTCAGACCCATCCCTTCCTAGTTCTGTGATTTGAAACTAGTTAACAAACCCCCTAGAGTCTCAGTTTTCTTATCTGCTTTGGGATGTGATGCTAGTACTTACTTCATAATGAGAAAATGGATGTAAAGTGCTTAACACACAGCCCAAAGCCAGATAAATTATTAATCCCGTATGAAGACTTGTTTTCTGGCCTTTCTATTACTTAATGGAGAATTTCTTAGTAATTTTTAACAATGACTATCCAAAGTAATTGGTAAATGTAGTGTTTCAATTAATTGAATATTACCAGTAACTGAATTGATATGCACACACATAAAACCAATACATAAGATCAATAATAGTTAGGGAATAAGATTCACAATCGAATTCTAAGGGCACTATTATTGTAAAGCACTTAAAACCCAGGATATGAATCCAGTTGGCTAACTTTAGAGTCCCTACATTAAGATATAAACAGAGATAGCTTCGCATGTACCCATTTAAAACATGCAGAAACTGAGGTATGCCTTTTTATCTATGATATTATTACACCTGAAAACATGCCCCTTCATTGTATAACCATGAGAAAATCACTTGAATTCTCAAGATTCATTTTCCTTGTCTATAAAATGGAGATAATCATAATACCTCCTTCACGGAATTGTTATGAAGTTTAAATGACACAATCAATTTTAAAAAGCTTAGCATTAGAGTGCCTGTAATCCCAGTGCTTTTGGAGCTCAAGGAAGGTGGATCACTTGAAGTCAGGAGTTCCAGACCAGCCTGGTGAAACCTCGTCTGTACTAAAAATACAAAAATTAGCCGGGTGTGGTGGCACACACCTGTAATCCCAGCTACTTAGGAGGGCTGAGGCAGGGGAATTGCTTGAACCCAGGAGGCAGAAGTTGCAATGAACCAAAATCATGCCATTGCACTCCAGCCTGGGTGAGAGTGAGACTCCATCTGAAGAAAAAAAAAAGGGGGGAAAAAAAAAGGAAAGAAAGCTTATCATATAGTACATACTCATTATTGTAAAGGATTAGCTTTGTACTTCAGCTGCATCCTCTTTACAGGCCTCTTTATATCTCCTGGTTGCTGTTGTTTGTGTTGGCTGCTGATAATTCTCAGCTGCCCCTCCACTAGGAACTAGCCTTCAGCTAAACAGAAGCCTCCTTTCCTGGGAGGAAACGCCCCCACCTCCCAGGACAGCCAATTGTAACAAACACAGTGGTACAAAAGGCTGCCCACCAAGCTCTTTACCCACTACCTCCAAGTGGGTTAAGATGTGTTGCAACTTGAGCTTCCCTGTAGAATCAAACCAAAACTAGTCTTCAGCAGTGACCACACTCTTGTTTAATTTTTCTACTGCTGTCCTATCCTGCTTCCTTCACTCCTCTTATCCTGGGAGAACTTCCCCAATGAAGTATAAGAATCTTCATCTCAGTCCTCACTGCTTAGGAAACCAATTTAAGGCAACTGGCACTGGAGAAGGATTCTAGGGTTAATCCACTTGCTGGCTGGATGGCAATGAGGACCCCACTGGTGGAGGTAGGTGGAGAATTAATCCCTGGTATACTATACAGTGTGACTACTAAGATTTCCATTGTAATGAGCTGGTGTGGGTTTGGGTGGAATGTCTGGTGCAGTGTCTCAGGCATTTGAGAAATGAGGGAAAATAGTTATAAGTTATTTGGAGTTGAATGAGTAGTTGAGAGAAAATTACAGACTCAGATAAATTAGACAAAATTTTAAGGCAAAGCATAAGAGTAGAAGGCTTCAACTCCTGCAGCTGGGATGGGGTGGGGGGCACAGTACTTGATTGCAATAGTGCAAAACTCTGAGAAGGCAGAGCTCTCAGGCTAGGCAAGTCTCTTAAGCCAAAGTCATGATCTTAATAGGGAAAGCATGTGATTTTGACTCTTGGAATAGATCTTTGCATATATGCACTTCGAACTTCAATTTCCCCTGAACCCTCTGTTCCTGAAGAAATGGCCTATTCTCCATTGACAAAGATTGTCCCCCATTCCCCAGCTTACTTGAAGACTATAAAGAGACTTCAAATAAGGCTTTAGAAGACAATGAAGGGCCCTCTTCAGGATATGCCCCCACTTCCTCTCTTAGCCACCTGATGCATAACTAGCATCAAATCTCAGCTCAATCAGGAAAGTGCTGGGCCTTCTGAAAGGAAGATGATATGTGTTCAAGGAACCTCAGGACCTAGAGAAAACTTACTAAGCAGAAGCTGGGAGAGTGTGTCTAAGAGAGCACCCTAGGAGTGCCTAACCAAAGAGAACAGAATATAAGTTTGTTAAGGGAAAGCTTGGGGATTTGGGACACTTCACCACTGCCGTAAGCTAATTCCCTAGCAAGGACTTAGGAGGTGACTCATACTGATGCTAGGAAAGATTTTGGAAGATTGAAGAAGGCAATGAGGCAAAGTGAAGTAAAAATGCAGGAACTTTTGTGACAAATAATGGAGAAGGTATTAGAAATTTCAGAGAAGTGGGTATGCTGGATTACATCTGCTAAATAAGATAAGAAATGCACTGGTGAGGGGGCTTCAGCATCATTGAAAACCTCAGCAGCAGCTGTCTTTTGTAAGCCAGTTCTGGTGGTAGGGCATGCAGTTAAAGAATTGGGTTCCTACTAACAACCGGGATGATAGGAGTCTGGAAAAACAAGTCACGTGGCAGCACTTAACTGTCAGAAGCAAGGTGGGTGTAATAACCATAATGGGCAGCAGGCTCAGAATGGCAGCCAGAGAGGCCTAACCTACAGATATCAAAGGAGATGGCTAGAACATGGTGTTCCTAGGGACAAAATAAATGGACAGCCAAAAAGGGTACTGTTTATTATATATAATCAAAATAGATCAAGAATGGTTTGGTAGAAGGCTGAAGTCAGCCACTTCTGTAGAAAGTCATAATCTCCTAATCAGTTTTTGGCTCTCTGGTTAGAACTCATTGACTGAAGGACAGGCCAGGTCCCTATGAGGAAGAATGCTGCAAGACCATGGCAAGTGTATACAGTTATTTCTCCAATCTTCCCCCCCAAAAAATCTTTGACCATTTACCCAGATCTTTCTAGAGTTATCAGATACACATTTTGGGTTGATGCTGAAACCCAGGGGGCTCAGAGCACCAATGTGGCACCCCTGTTAGAGTAGGGGCACATTTGCGGCTGAGACAGCAAATGGAATCTTGGCCCAGATCCACCTCACAGTGGATCCAATGGGTCACAGTCCCACACTGTGCTCATTTTCCTGCTTCCAAGCTTGGTAATTGGAAGAGACATATTTAGCATTTGGCGGAAACCTCGCATTCATTTCTTGATGTATACAGTAAGAAGTCCTGTAGTGGAGAAGATTAAGTGGAAACCCCTGAAACTTCACACCACCCCTTTCTGCTTACACCAAGATTAAAAAAACAAAAATTATCCCAAAGGAATGGCAGAGATTAGCACCACCCTGACATCCAAAGGATGCAGGCATGATTGTCTTCATTGCATTCCCCTTTAATTCACCAGTTTGGCCCCTGCAAAACAGATGAATTATGAACGATATTGGACTATTAAATATGAAACCAAACAGTATTCCTAATTGCAACTGCTGTGCTGGATGTGGTATCATTACTTACCATAAACTTATGACAAAATTATCTTCCCCAAGAGTACCTATGTCTTTCATGAAAGACATTCATGAATTCATGAACTTGGAAATTTTTAAATAGACCAATTAGACATAGAGTTAATTTCTTAAAATGAGTTGGGTGTCTAATTACATTTTGGGTTGTAGAGTGAGAATATAAGTAGCTAGTAAATTACTTTAAATTTCTACTATTAAGCAGGGCTTTCAAATAATTATGCCAATTAACAAATTTATACAGTTTGGTAAGAGCTTATATCAAATCTTGTTTTTAAATGGTTTAAAATAGATACCTTACAAACAATAAGTATGACTCACAGTTGGGGATAAAAACAGATATAAGCTTTGTGGAGAAATATGGGGAACCAGAAACTTCCCCCTATTTTGACTGGAAAGTATAATCTCTCTTCCCTCTAAGAGCTTGTTTCCCTGCTGGCTCCTCCTGAGTCCGGCTTTAGGAGAAGACTGAGAGGGAGCGAAA